GATGTAGCTGTTTTAGAAGTTGTGCTGTGATTTTGAGCACACAATCCTGTATGTTTCTTCTGAGCAAAAGTAGATGACATTGTAAAAGATCATAGCAGCCACATGAAGTTTATTTACTTTTAACATTTCTAAATATACTACCCCAGAGCCTGTCACATTAATAATAATCCAGGTGTTTCATTGCTGTAAACAAGTTTTGTTGACAGATTGTTTCCATCACCAAGTTGGTTAATAATGAGAGTTCTAATTTAATGTTGTACTTTGTGATTTTGCATTTCAGTGATTCGTTTGAGTAGGGAAGGGAGGGTATCTTCGGTTGGGATTTTGAAAAATACGGCAGCCAAGAGAGAGCAAAGCCTTGGTTTGTACCGTGGCAGAACCGCCACCAGCCAGAACAGACATGTTACGTGCACCCAGCAGGAGAACAGGTGATTTCACAGAATCACACAGAATCACAGAATGGTTGAGGTTGGCAGGGACCTCTGAAGGTCATCTAGTCCAACCACCCTGCTCAAGCAAGGTCTCCTAGAGCACATGAACCAGGATTTTGTCCAGATGGTTTTTGAATATCTCCAGGGAGGGAGATTCCACAACCTCTCTGGGCAACCTGTTCCAGTGCTCAGTCACCCTCACAGTAAAGAAATTCTTCCTTATGTTCAGGTGGAACTTCCTATGCTGCAATTTGTGCCTCTCATCCTATTGCTGGGTGGCAATGAGAAGAATCTGTCCCCGTTCTTTAGACACTCTCCCTTTAGATATTTATAAACATTAATCAGATCCCCTCTGAGTCATCCTTTCTCCAGGCTGAACAGGCCCAGCTCCCTCAGCCTTTCCTCATATGAAAGATGCTCCAGCCCTTTAATCACCTTAGTCACCCTTTGCTGGACACGCTCCAGGAGTTCCGTGTCCTTCCTGTACTGGGCAGCCCAGAACTGGACACAGTATTCCAGGTGGGGCCTCACCAGGGCTGCTTTCCAGGAGGTCAGCCCCCAACCTGTACTGGTGCCTGGGGTTATTCCTTCCCATATGCAGGACCCTGCACTTTCCCTTATTGAACCTCATGAGGTTCCTCTCTGCCCATCTCTCCAGCCTGTGGAGGTCCCTCTGAATGGCAGCACAGCCGTCTGGCGTATCCAACACTCCTCCCAGTTTAGTATCATCAGCAAATCTGCTGAGGAGGCAACTCTGTTCCTTCATCTAAGTCATTGATGAACAGGTTGAACAACACTGGACCCGGTATTGTCCTCTGGGGGACACTACTAGATACAGGCCTCCAGCTTGATTCCACACCACCAGTGACAACCCTCTGAGCTCTGCCATTCAGCCAGTTCTCAATCCACCAGCTCATGGAGTTACCCCATTTGAGCTGGGGAGCTGGGACACTGTATTAATGCTGGTGTCACTATTTGGGTTCAGTGGTGAGAGATCATCCCACAGTAATTACTCCTGTGAGATCTGCACTTTGCTGCACTTGAGCCCATCTGAGTTCTGGGTTTGGTTGTACCCGTTCTGGGTACAACACTCCTGGGTGACTACAGCAGTTGAATTAAGCCAGTAAGAATATTTTTCCCATAGGTACAATCCCAACGTGATTTACCCAAGAGTATTCACTGGGCACAAGCAGTCAGTGAACCAGATAACCCAAAGCCTTTGCCTTGTCACAAGGCTGGGTGTCCGTGAAGCATCTTGTGCTTCCAGATGCTCTTGGATTAGATGTTCCACATCTCCTGTAACAAATACACCCTGTGCATGAGGAAAGCGACCCTCACCTCCTCACTGACCAAAGGAGCCCCAGTCCCACAAGCTGACACGCTCTTATCCCACAGTGGTGTTGACACAAAGGGTCTGACCCTGCTTGAGATTGCAGGCTTTTGGTATCTGGGCTCAGAGAGGGAAAGAAGGCTGTGAGAGATAAGCAACGCTTCTGCTACATCTGTTTAATTTGCAGGACGTGTTTTTAAAGTTTCTAGGTCTGAATCTAAGTACTTGTAACTTCTGTCCTCTTTTTTGCCTTCCTTGAAATAGGTATGGACTTTAAGTCATGCATTTAAAAAAAAACCTCAAAACATAAAAAAAAAAACCCCAGCCCAACATTTTAAAAAGTCCTTTACAATAGAGAAATTTAAGGAAGGTTCACTCTTGGTCTTTCAAGGATTTCAATCCTGCCCAATAGGTAATTGAATCTTTATACAACAGGGCAGATGTCACCAGCACTGAAATGTTAAATACCCAAATAAGTACCCAGGAGCAGTGGACGCTTTACACAGAATCTCAGAATGTTGGGGATTGGAAGGGACCTCAAAAGATCATCCAGTCCAACCCCCCTGCCGGAGCAGGAACCTAAATGAGATCACATGGAAAGGTGTTCAGGCGGGTTTTGAATGTCTCCAGAGAAGGAGACTCCACACCCTCCCTGGGCAACCTGTCCCAGGGCTCTTTTTCTTGATAGAGACTGTGTGTGATAGCACACAAAACCAGTTGCTTGCCTCTTGCTGGACCCCCTAAACATTACTTTTTTTTTTTTTTCAATTGGCAACACTATTGTATTGAGCACGAGGTGTAAATTTATTAGCTGCCTTTGACAAGACTTTGACGAAACAAAATATTTGCTGGATTAAGTATTATGACTGGGTTGAAGCAAACTTCAATGGGTAGTATCTTGTGTATGTATTTATTTTGCAAATGACTGGAAATAAATTTGTTACCTAATAGGTTAATGTCTACAAGTGTCAAGTCTTCAAGACAGACAGCATTTTTGATACAATAAATAGAATTTACATTTCAATGGAAGGGGGGAAAAAGGGTTTTTTAGTGTATTTAAGCTGTAGAAACAAAATTACCTACAATTTTATCTTGAATTGCTACATCAGACTGCTATTTCCCATTATGCTTTGGCAAAAGGGGGCCTGTGCTGGATTAGTACAACTGATTTAGTAATCTGGGATGATAGGAAATTATTTCTTCTCCTCTCATTTTTTTATTAGTTTTCAACTGGTGAGGGGAAACCAGGACTTCTTTGATGGTGGCAATACAGGCTTGGGTGGATCTTAGTCAATCATAAAATGGCATCCGTTGCTAAGGTAGTTATGTGTATTGGAAATGGGTTTGAATTTTCAAAGCTGTAAATAGGGAGTAGAGTTTCTAAAGGAAATCTAAAGTTTAGAATGGGATGCTATAAAGAGATCAGATTATTCATGGACAAATTAGATAATCAGATTTCCTTGAAATAAATATTGTGTTCTCTTGCAACGCAGCAGATCAAAGCTCGTTTTTGCTTTTGTCTTTTCTTTCACCCCAAACCACTTCTCGTTTAATGCTTTAAATGCTCATTTTACTTCATGCTGGTTGTGTGTTTTGGCTGTAATGTAACTTTCTATGTTACAAATTTGATAGTGCTGCTTGTTTGTAATCTATTTGCTCGACTAGATTTCAGAATTTTCTGTGATGGCTATCACCTGAAAGTGGTATTTAGACAATGAGTTAATAGAGCCCACAGAATATTAGTGTTACAAATACTTCCGAAACCTTGTTTTTATCAGGATTTTTAATGTGTCACTCGTATGCTCTTTCATCCTGTCTGATGTTGCTTTGTATTTTGTGGAAGCTGGTGTATTCTCCCAACAAATTTTAATATTGATGCATTTATGTAGCTTTTTTTCTTTGAATCCTACTCTTTTTGCATTCTAGCATTGCACTAAGTCAAAAGCCCTTTTGGAGGTCAGGTGTATGACAGTTTTGACATCGCTACAGCTAAAAAGAAGCTGGCCCTGGGATGTGCAGGTACAGGTCCTGTTGGCTGCAGCAGAAGTTGGCCCTGTGCAGTCAGCCTCGCAGACTCCTGGGTCTGTGAGGAGTGGAGGAACAATAGAGATTTTCTGTGGCTTTTGCCAGGGTGAATAGCTAACTGTGTAGATAACAGGAAAAAAATGTCCTGTCATACTTGGTTTATGTAGAAAAGAAAACGTTTAAAGGTATAATATTTTAATTGTCTATAGCGTTTAAATGATTGATGTGGAAAAAAATAGAAGCCTATTTTGTCTGCAGCTCTGACTTGAATTCATCCTTTAATTACTGAAGTCCAGACTGAAGGCGGGATTATCTCGTGATTATTATTATTCTTTTAATCTTTCCTATAGATATTTTCGGTGTTGTTTTCACCAGTGAAATAAAACTGAGTTTTGTAGGCCTGCACATTCTTGGTAATTTTTCCTCGAATGATGAGGATTGGAGAAGTATTTGTTAAATAATTCCCTTTTGTCTGTACGCTGTATTTTGAAAATTATCATCAAGGAGCTTTTTAAAATGTGATTTTTTTTTTTTTAAGTAAAAGAAAGAAATTGTTATGGCTATCATGGTTTCCAGCAGCACTGTGCACCCTCCTAAGGTGAAGGGGTAATGTGTGCCAGCCTTCCAAATTTTGAGCAATGCCTTACAATTTCTGAAACATAAATGCACCGTTGTGTAACTGCAGCATCACCATACCCAAAGATTCTCAGTCATACGCTGTTTCTGTAATTTTCATAGCTGCATAACCATTTTTTGAATTTTTGATGAAAACATCATCTGGATATGTAATACAAAAAATTTAGTTTTCAGTAGAGAAGGCTACTCCTAATTTATTTAAAAATCCCATCCAAAATTGTTAATATTTTATGTGTGAAGTACGAATGGTATGTGATCTGGTTTGTGCTGAGCCACGTTAAAGAAAAATACTTTGAGGGGAGAGCCTTGTGAACATCACCTAATAAAAAAAGAACTCGGAACCATTCCATACTTTTTCCTTGCTTCAAAATCATTTTCAAACGCTTCCAGCTCTCTGCCAAATAAACCCGTGCTGTAGCTGCATGTCATCGGATTCTAACGTGCCGGGAAGATTTCTCTCTTGCTGGCACCCCTGTATGTAGCAGCCTGTGGTCCCTTCCCGAATCCATGCGTGTGTTTCTGCTCTAGCCCAGCTGCTGGGAGCTTGTGGTCAGGTTCTGGAAAGGCACTGGGTTTCCAGGATCCATGTGTGTGCATCTGGCTGCGAGTGACCCATTGAAAACTGGCAGTCGTGGTACTAACTGCTTTGAAACAGCAGCCTTCTAGCATCGGGCTTTGTTCTGCATCGGTGAAGATGCACGTCCCCGGAGCTGCTTGGTAACTGGAGCTTTCCCTTGACCAGTACCCTGTTCTTTTTTGACTTGCTTATTTCTTACTGCCATGTCATCTCCGGGAGCCACTGAGAATACGCAGAAGAATTCACGTAGGTGGAACTTTATTATCGTCTTTATTATTTGTCAGCTTAATTTACCAAGCTAATGGAAAATGCAAAATGAAATTAAAGTTAGCTTAATTAATTTCCTCAGTTACCACCATTGCCTGATTTGTAAAGGGTGTACTATAAATGAGAGGTTAATTATCAACTTGATTTAGCAAATTTGAAAGAAATAGTGACTTAGTGTCTGTGTTGTCAGAGCTTTTGTTTATCGCTTTGCTTTTGTCTGTCGCTTTGCTTTATTGTCAAGGTAATATTAATCAGAATTAGTAAAAGAATACAAGTACACAGATACCTTGTTAGCTAAAATTCAAGAAGACTTGTCTAAGGGTGGGGTGATATTAGAGGATGAGGGGAGACAGAGAATTATTATCTGAAGATAAAAGCCAAATATAAAAAATTAGAGCAGTGAATTCATTAGTGTAGATGCAGTCATGCTAATTCTTAGTTTCCTTCAGATAAAATAATAAATGATAAAAATGTTTATTTTTAAATGAAGCAGTGTTATTTACATCAATATGAACACCCTATGTCATATGAAAAAATGTTCTTAATAATGCCATTGATAACATTTTTGTGCTGTTAATTTGTAACTAATGATATTTAGAACTCTGCTGTGATTGAAATAGAAATAAGATGTGGATTTCTACTCTGATTCTTTTTGTGTTCTTTTATGTAACCACTGAAAGAGGGGCTTTTTTCTGTTGCCATTCATGTGGGGTTTTTTTTTCAGTTGATGTGCAGGACCAAAAGATAAAGAGTAAATTGAAATATTATATTATTTCAATAACCTGTTGGAGCATGCCTTTATCAAAACTCTACCTATGAGTTGTAATTCTGACCACTAAATTTTATATTAATGTTAAATAACAACGTAAAGTTGAATATTTTGTTTTAAACAGTTTGTCTGGTGTGGGAGAACTCTTTACATTTGTATTGATTAGAAATACTTCATTTATCAAAATAGGTTTTTTTCCATAAATCTAGACAGAGTAGTTTATTGTTTACTTAAAGATGGCAAAATTTATCCTCTGTTCTGCTAAATGTGGTGTGACACTTTTGCAGTCAAAATTAATCAATTTTGTGAGCAATATATATAGTACTGGTAAAATCCATTTTGTATCTTTAACTAGTTTGTACATACTGTCAAAAGTTGTCGTTTTATCTTCTTGTTTCCTGCAATTGAAGTATGGTGAAATGAGGGTGCAGCTGTGAATCATTCTTCTTTTCCTTATTTACAATCTTGCAATATCTCCTGGACAGTAGAATAGCTATTTTGTGTGTAGGGCGGGGTCCAACCTTGAAATTATAATTCCATAAGGATTAGAATATGGAATTGGAGAATATTTCTGAAATGTGACTTTTAGCAATATCAGTCCTCCAACTACTGCTGGGAAGAGGTAGCAGTAAGTAGAAGCTCTAGCATCCACATTAATTTCGGAAAGGTTAGCTCCTCTCGTAGCCAGGATTATTGTAATGCTTTTTTTAATCACATTTTTTACTATATCTTGGTGTGGAAAGAAGTAATAGAAAGAAGTAATGCAAAAATAAAGATGGCTTGTTATATATTTATGATAATCTGTTTGCTCACCATCTGGCTAGGCTGAGGTTAATGAGAAATTAAGAAATGCTCATCTACCTGCTTTTGAGAAGATTGCTTCTCTCTAACAAGATCAGATGTATGGGGTCCTGAAAGACCAAATGCTGTAGGTTCTTGTGGCCTGTGACTACATCTTGGTGCAAATGAATATTTGACCAGTTTTATAATGACAGTAATCTTTGTTTTGGTATGCTGCTTTTATTTTATTATATGTTAGAAATGTAAATGTAAGTGTAGACATTTCATCAGGTTGATTTGTAGCTAAATGAATGTACAGGAATAGTTTATATGCTTTTTATATTTCTCCACGTGCCAATATTTCTTTCTATAGTGGTACTGTAAATATGATACTATTCTGGTCCTTACACTGTTCAGAAATAGTAGAATTGTTTTAAAAACTGCAATAGAAATAATTTATTCCTTCTTTATAGCATGTTCTTACATAAATCTCAGTCCTGCCTTTCGCAGCACTGTGTTATTAAACTGCTACTTCTGCTCAGGTTTTAATGATGCAGATGGGAAGGGCGGATGGCCAAGGTGTGCATGCGGACGTGTAAGAATTCAGAACATTTCTCTACCTGGTCAGTAAAAGTAACAAAAACGTGGATATTCTGGTTAACAGCTCTGCCCATTTTATTTACAAGTGTTATGTATCCTGTGTTAAATTGTATCAAGGCATTAGAGCTGAAAATGTGCAAACATAATTCTTCAATATTGTAGCTAGTGTGGCATCCTTTTTTTGATTTATTTGTTTTTACTGAACAAGTGAAAGAATATACTTTTGAAAGATGGCTTTGAATGATTAGTGTAATGAATTACTTAAAAAATGAGCTATTTAAAAAATCAGTAAAACATTTTTGTATGTAATATTTCTGAATTGCATATTTTTAATAGAGCGTGTGAGTTAAGGCCGAAAGAGGTCAAGAGGCATTTTTGACTAACTGAACTCATTGTTTCATTTCTAATCACTTGGGGAATTCCGTGGATTAAGATGAAATAAAAATCTTGCAGAGATGTCACTCAGCCCTTTTTTCCTTTTATGTAGAAGCCAGCTAATGCTATTTTGACATTGCATAAATGAGACTTGATCAAAATGTAGTTGGCTGTGTCTTATTTTAAATCAAACAGAAACGGTGACATTTATAGGAATAAGTTTCTGGCTTAATTAGATGATCACGTAATCACTCCAGACCTCGTGCACCAACGTTTCCATTGGCTCGGGAGGGTTTTAACTTGGATCATCATCTTAAATCCTCATGGATTTATTATCTCTTCTCTGGTCATCAAACATGAAAGTGAAAAACCCACGCTTCACAGAGAAGACAACTGAAAATACATCGGGTGGTTCTCGGTGTGTCTTGTGCATTTGCATGGGTAGGAAATGGATCTGGTGGTACTTGCTAAACTCAGCTTCCTGGCTCACCAGTCATGTGGGAACTGCAGTTTTGCAGACCCAACTGTCCTAAGCCTTCATCATAGGTGTAGTGTGTTATTTTTTCAAGTCTATTTAACTGTACAATGAAATTAGAAGGGTGGGCTTTTTACCTTTGTTTTACACTAATTAGTTCTCCATGCAATGAGTGTCCTGTGCAGGGTGGCTTCTGGCACTTGCTGGAGATCCAGGTCCTTGGGAAGGGTGACATATATATTTTCCCTTTTTGCTTGTTGGTACTTATTTAGAGGGTCATGCTGCCAGTCACTTGGTATCTGGTTCTCATCAGACCCAAACATGTTTTGGATGCAAAGCTGTAGGAAGGCTGACAGATCAGAAAGCCAAGTCTTTGATTTTCAGCTCATTTGGGAATCCATAACTGGTATGAAATAATCTAGTCCCACTAGTTGCAGGATGGGAAGAAGTCTGGCAGAGGTATTTCTCTCTCCCTCTCTTGCTCGGTCCCAACATAGAGTTCAGGGTGCTTTTTTACCACTAATGATTTCTCCTGCATATTAGTGATTATTCAGTCCAATTGTCTTAAAATTTATGAAGTGAAAATTAATTTGGTATATGGAAGAATTAAAGACTAACTCTACAACAAAAGAGAAAACAGAAAATGTTTTAACTAACACAGACCAAAGAATATTTTTTAAGTCATATCTTGTAGAAATTTGGAAACTTGAGGATTTCTGAGACAAAAGAAATCCAATTGTTTTAGAAGGAAGGTTGTAAACTAGACAGTGTCTAAAGGTATTTTTAATACATTATTAAAAATATCATGAATGAATTTCAGAAAAGTATTCTTACTATATAGTCAGTCTTCTTTGCAGTCCTTGAAACTTCAAGATTTCAACTGAGGAGATAATTATAAGAAGACAACATTTTGTTTTTAAGATACTTTAAAAATAGATGCTTCTTGAGCTGACATTGTGAGTACTATGTCAACTTGAACATGTATACTGCTGCTTTTTGAATGAAAGGAATAGACCAGTATGCTTCTGTAAGCAAAGCATTCTTTACATGTGATTCTAATGCTTAAGTAAGATACACATTATATATATATATATGACTCTAATATTAACCTTGCTAGACCTAATTCAGTTTTAACTTGGACATTCTGTATTTTGTTCAGGCAGCAGCACAAGTATGAAGGCTAAGTGTGGAGAACAAGTGACTCTGACAGCAGTAAAACATACAGAAAATAATAATAATTTTATAGATTTTGTCCACTGGTAGTTAATAGCAAGCCAAAAAGTTCTGGAAGTGACAGGTTATTAAACAAAAATTATTTAGGAAGAAAACACTCTCGTGTCATAAAGTCACACTTGAGAAATGAACTATTGAGATTAATTCAACTGTGAACAGGGTAAATAACATCCAGGGTTGGATCAATCATGAGATTTCCAGTGGACAGCTACAAATGAGAAGAGGTGTTAGAGAAATAATTGAGATATGAGAAGAGAGCTTATTTCACTAGACACTTGAAGGAGTTACCAACACAAAAAAGAGAAAAAAAAAAATCCTGAAAGGCCAGTGTGTGTTGGGGTTGGGTGGTTTGGGGGTTTTGTTTTGTAGTAATTAGTATGCCTCCAGCTAAATGTTAATTGTGTTAAACTGTTCTAGTATTAATTTGGCAAAGAGGCTTTCTTAAATCCTATCAGCCCTGAAAATACTGTCTGCCTATGTTGTGATACTGTTCAATCTTGTATTTTATCTAGTGTCTGTTGTTTTCTGACTTACCCCAGTCATCAGATTACTAGAGGGGAGGAACATTGGGGCATTTGAACAACTGCTACTGAAATCTCTTGGGCAGAAAAGTTTCTTTCATAAGCTGTTGGTTTTGTGAGTTTCTTGGAAACTGCTGCTCTTCGATCTACAGAGAGTGAGAATTAATAGCTCTGTGGTATAAATTTAGTCATTGATGAGTAACCTGAAACTTTGTTATATAAATGT